AGGGGCTTCTTAGGAAGGGTGGGGAAGAATAGAAATTGTAAGTTTGAACATGAAAACTACGATAACCTCATTCTAGGGAACGATGATTTATTTTGTTTTCGTTCAAGTTAACTTAATGATGAATATTTTTTCATTAGTTTTAGTGCAATTAAATAGTATTAGGATCACTTTTTTAGAGAAAATTGTTTGTTTGTACGATTATCAAATGTTTTTCACTGGGGTTGACCCGTCTGCTGGACCTTTCTGGTAAATTAGGTCACAATGACTTAATGGTATCATTTCAACAAACTTAATTGCTAAACTATCTTTCGAAGTCTCGCTTGATTTTTCGCTTGAGCGTCACACTTTTGAATTAGTTCACCAGTTTTTGCACCCAGGTACAACATCGCTTAGGGAGGTTTTGAGGATAAGCACTCTTTGTTCTCGAGCTAGTTGTAAGCGGAAACACTGACTTCTTGTTCTACGTCCTTTTACAGTTAGAATGGATGCTTACATTTAGGAGTTGAAGAGAATTAAATTAAGGCTAAGTGCGTACTTTAGTAATTAATGGAGGAGGCGGAACCGTCTTAAGTCTCCCTTTCGTCTCCAAAATACTGTTCACATTTATTAAGTTGTTTTATTGAAAAATGTTCAAAAGTCTAACCTTGTAAAATAAGACGGATTTTATCCGATAAGTGCCGGTCTTTTGTACCTTTTATTACTGCACATCCCTTTTTAAAGCGATATCGCAATTGGGCTGCTACAAAACTCTTAGAAAAATTATCGTTGAAGTGCACTGCCCTTCTTGAAGGAAACCATGCTTGTTACCTATCGTCATTTGCGGAGCTAAAACAGTGAGGAAGATGTTTGATGGTGGAGCATTGACAGGATGCATTTAAAAAGGACGTAGGCAATGTATTTACGCCGAATTATGTTATGTTGTTCAAAGCGAGGTTTGGTAGACTGTGACGAATACATACGGACAAAAAAGATTAGTAGAGGACAACCGTGAATGTTCTATCCTACTGACATTCCTCTAAACTTATTTCCTCATTCTGGCAGAATGAGCATTCACAGAAACACTCATTAACTCATTCTGGCTGTGTAGCACGAACTGAGCCATGGCCCACGACCCAAAAGCAGGGAAGCTAGTTTGAGTTTGCCTTGCTTTCAGGTATGTTCTAACAAATCCACTCTAAAAGATATGCTACCTCAAGCAATCATACCTTCCCCACGTACAACAAAAGGGAGAAGCGATATAAAATACCGCTAGCTAAATAGTATAAGAAATCAATTTGTCATACGAAGGCCAGCCTTCTTGCCATGTGAACGTCCATATCAACGCCCAGAGTAAAAGTGTTCAAGTAATACCTTTGTCCATACATACATTAAGCAGTAAAAGATTATAAATCATAATCTATACAACAATCTCTTTGTTTATCTCCTAAAACCGTGGCGGAGTAGACAAATTGTCCATCAATTGTAAATGATGTGGCCAAGTCCGTTTAAATTCTCTCACCATTGAAATCAGGTCCGACGAAGGCCAACGCTTCTTGAAAATTTCAATGAATGAAGTGAAAAGCTGCGAATTGTAGTCTTCCCCTTCCCTGACGTAACCGTGACGAAATTGCCCCAACGTTATATGGAGAATTTCGGGAATTTCACCGATAGTTTTCCATCCAGGAGGGCTCACCACGAGTTTTCCATGTTCTGGAATTGATGCCAATTTCTCATCAATAGATTCATGAAGGCGTTCTTGAAAAAAACACGTGGCCCCAAGGTTAGAACAGATTAAAAATACCGCAATGAAGGTAGATCCACCTGCAATGGAAGACCAATAAAGGTATCACTGAATTAGAAAAGAAACAAACTGAAAGAAGGAAACGCAAAGAAAAACAAAACAAAACGAAACAAACCAGAAGAGTGCAAAATAAAGAAAAAACTACGACATCATGAAAATTATCCTACAATTATCACCACAATCATCCAAAATGATGAATCCGCGGACGCAATCGAACCTCCGTAAGCGACCGCCAGAAATGTAAAACCTAACCATAACGTTCAAAGACGTTATCGCTTGCGAAACGGAAAGACCACGGTCCGCTGAGTCTGGCAGTGTTNGAACAAGACCTGGCCTAGGCCATGGCCAACCCTGTGGCCTACCCTGTGGCCTACCCTGTGGCCTACCCTGTGGCCTACCCTGTGGCCTATCCTGTGGCCTACCCTGTGGCCTACCCTGTGGCCTACCCTGTGGCCTACCCTGTGGCCTACCCTGTGGCCTACCCTGTGGCCTACCCTGTGGCCTACCCTGTGGCCTACTCTATGGCCTACCGGTGGTCAGATTTTTAAGAACATAAAAATAAAATCAGTAAGACTCGAACGAATACGCTGGTTTACAATTATCTGTCTCTGAAAAGGGTATACTGAGAGGTCACTAACACGATTTTCAACGTCCAAGGAAACGAAACACTGCAAATATCACAGCACTGAGCCATAACGATAGGTTAAGGGAGAGGGGAGAGGAGGGGCCAATATTGCGTGGTCGCAGAAGATAAACAAAATGGCGGCTTTATGATGCAGACTGTCAGTCGGTAACATATACTGGAGTGCAGGCGTAAAAATGTAATGAACGGCGTTATATTGGAGAGCATACATATCCAGGTAAGAAAACGCAAACATTACGTGCCAGGCCAATTTTTTAAGTGCCCTCAAGTGCTGTAGAGGATTGAATTTGCAACGAGCACCCAGCGACGCGCACGCATCGCCGTCGTAAGCATTTCGCAAACTTTACTTGCTTTTCCAAAGAAATGGCCAGTATTGCACTAATTTGAAAGGAGAGCTGATATCATGATGTTTGCCCAAAAGTTGCGTTTAATCGGCTTCTGTTCCTCGATTTCCTTTTTCTATCAGAAGGTTAAAAAATTTTGATCGGAATGTGGCCACCAAAACAGCAGAAGAAAGTCGTTGGTAAGACAGTACTCAGGAAAACGTTTAAAGGTTTCCAGCAATGCTATCCTTTTAAAAATCTGATCACCGGTAAGCCATAGGGTAGGCCACAGGGTAGGCCACAGGGTAGGCCACAGGGTAAGCCATGGCCTAGGCTGTCCACACCCCGCCACTGCGGGTAATAGGGAGGTACGGGTTATGTGGCAATTTTGAAGTCTACTGGCGGTTTAATTGAAGAAAATTCTCACCTGCCTGCGTTTCCACCTCTCAGATGAATTTTATTGTATTGAGAGTGCCATAAAGCGGCACGAAAGCATGACGCCGACTCGAGTTTATTTCACGCACAATTAGTTGCGCGACGAACAAATTACTAAGAGGGTCCCCAACAGGGTTCTTCAATCCCGCCATCCCGACCGGAATTTTCCCTCAATCCCTCAATCCCAACGGTTTCTACCGGCTAATCCCGATCCCGTTCATATTTTCTTAATTCCTTACTCCGGCAAAAATGATCCTTGAAGTTCCGTTTCAGATTCCCTCACAGCAGACTCAAGCACTGACTCAAGTTACGTTGAATTAGCTGTATCTCTCTGCACTAAAACGATGATCTAGTTCATTTGTTTTTCATGACTGGTTTTAAACGAGTTTTGTCAGTCAATGAGTTATATTCATGGTTTTTATGGCTGGTTTGTTTTGTTTTTCCTTTTTTCTGTTTTTTCTCTTTTGTTCGATAACACCTGCCTTCCGGATCACTTCGATCTCTGAAAAAAGTGTCTCTCGGAGATGATAGAGATCAATGAAGAGCATTAGAGGGGAACTGAAGCCTAAAAATGAACCATTTTAAAATTGCAGCTTATAGTTCAAATAGCAATGTTCGAGGGTTTTTTTGTCTTTGGGCCCAACTCCACCTCGGAAAAATAGTTTAAAGTGGTATTTTGGACTCGTAGTACGGCGGCTCAGAAAATCGATGTCAGCGGTCATTTTAGCTCGCTCTTACGTCACTGGTGGGGAAGAAAGATAATAAACCCATACTCTTCCAACAGAAATTTGGTTTTATTGAAGTTGCGTGACTTGTAATGGGGATTAACTACAAAAATGAAATAGTAACAGTTGTTTTTCTTAAGATGGTTCCCACCACTGACGTCATAAACGACCGCTGCTGACCTATTTTGAGCCGACGGTCTTACACACTTCGGCAACTTCAAATCGAATTTTCTCGTAAAAAACAAGTGAACGAAAACGAATATCGATACTTTATCTTACTCCTCTAAAGCTAACTAGAAATGAATGAAAACAATATACCAATTTTAGGCATCTTTACTGTTCACTACACATATGATAAGTCACCGTCAATCGCAACTCAGAAGACAGTTTGCTCATTCACAATTTTCAGCCATGGCAACGATCATCTAGAAATTCCATAAAATCGAGTACAATTGTGCTCAACAAATACTGAAACATATTCTTTTCGACCCCAGTTTAACAGTGCTACATGTTCCGGCCCAAAATGCCGTAATCACCGGTAACCAAAGCGTACTATGAGAGGTTGAAATAAGAGCCTGTATGGATTTCAATTTTGGACGAAAACTATTTCTGTTTTCCTTTGAAAAGCTAGATAAAGTTCGAACCTAAGTGGTGTCCTCTTTATGTCGCCGAAACGCTTCTGTTAGCCATTTGACCGATTTTGACGCGAATTAAAGAGTACAGCCCTTGTCCTGTTGCTCTCGTGCCTGACACTAAGTTGCCCGTGGAGACAGCCACTCAGCACCCTAATTGTTCGCGACTCAGGGCCAACTACCCCTGTCAGGCGATACCCAGCGAGGAGTAGAAACCCCCCACAACGTTTTCACTGAAGGACCCATACCCTCCCGCATGAACAGTTTTGAGTTCACGGCAGAGACATTGACTTT